AGGAATCGAGTGAGATCCAGTTTAAGGTTAAAGTTTTGGGGATTTGAGGATGTAACAGTAGAGTCAGGTAGTGAGATCCAGGCATTGTCCACTCTGTTGCTGAAGTCGTATTTTCTGCAATTGAGTTTGGAGCAGTTTACTTTGAGTTTGTATCTATTGTTTGCCCGTGTGTTATTGTGGTTGAAGCTGAAGTAGTCATTGAAAGGTAGGATGTTGTAGCAGGCAATTTTGTGTACTAAGCTTAGGTCAGACCACAGGTGGCATAGTTTTAAGTTGTCTAGGTCCAAAATTTCAAGCCTGGTGGCATAAGGTATTCTATTTTTTTTTAAGAACAAGTTTTATTGATTTTTGAAGACAAACAAAACATAAAACATAAAAGTATAAAACCTCCTTTCTAAGAATTACTTATAAATTTTAACAAGGCAAATAAAGCATTATTTTTTAAAACATAGTTCCACATTATCACATTTCCATTTACACATATTTATCTTTTCCAAATTTCTCATTATTTCTCCCTTCACTTTTGTTCAATTATATTTTTTTCAATCAAAGTTTTAGTAATTCTCAATCAGTCATAAGCACACAAAATACATAGCATAAAACAAGACATAAAAAAAATAAAACCTTCTATTGTGAACTGAGGAGTGAAGTACTCTTCTCATGAAATACCTCTGGACTCATTCAATTGTATTAATGTCCATTATACAGTGTGGATTCCATGCAGATGAGCTGTATTCAAGAATTGGTCTGGCAAAGGTTTTGTATGCCCTGGTTTGCAGTTCAATGCTACCGGAGAAAAAGCTTTGCAAAATTAGGTTAACAACTCTTAATGCCTTTTTGGCAATGCTGTTACAGTGAGCTCTGGAGCTTAGATCTTTTGAAATGAATACTCCTAGGTCTTTGACAGAGTGAGGGTCATCTAGGAGGTCATATCCTCCCAGTTTGTATTTAGTGTTCTGATTTTTGTTGCCAATGTGTAAGACAGAGCATTGGTTGGTTGAGATTTGAAGTTGTCAATTGTTCGACCATTCTGATACATAGTCAAAGTTGCTTTGTAGGGCAGCAGTATTGTCAGTGGTGTTAAATAGTTTTACATCATCAGCGAAGAGGACGCAGTTGCTTTTAATATGATCGCAAAGGTAATTTATGTAAATTAGAAAGAGAGAGGGTCCTAGAACTCTGCCTTGGGGGACACTGCTATTAACTGGTGCTGGGTTTGATAGGGCACTCCTTATTTTGACTATTTGTTGCCTGTTTGACAGGAATGTAGCTATCCATTTGTGCAGTGATCCAGAAGTGCCGTAAGAGCTTAGTTTTAACAGTAGTTTGTCGTGTACCAGTGAATCAAAGGCTTTGCAGAAGTCTATGTAAATTGCATCTATTGCTTTACCCTGGTCGAGTTGTGTAGTCCAAATGTTTTTGCAGTGTAGGAGTTGTAGATTACAGGACAAATTTTTCCTGAAACAAAACTGTTTGTTAGAGAGTTGTTTGTTTATCTCTAAGTGCCTCCACAACAATCCGTAATGGATTGGTTGACGATTGATTCCATGACTTTGCAGGTGACACAACATAATGAGATTGGTCTGTAATTTTCAACTAGGCTGGGGTCTCCCTTTTTGAAGATAGGAATGACCGTGGCTAATGACCATAGGTTGGGGAAAGTGCTGAAAGATATCTCGTAGATTGTGCTTAGTGGTTCGGCTATGGCAGTGGAAAGCTTTTTTAAGAAGTATGCACATAATCCATCAGGACCAATAGATAGAGATGGTTTTAGTTTGCGTAGTGTTCAGTTGTTAAATGAAGCCACACCCAATTTGATGATCAGTTTTGTCATTGTTATTAAGTGAATCACTGCAGTAGATAAGTGAATCGTGGTCATTAAGCAAACCAGCTTTCCTCATTGACTTTGCTTTTTGGAAGCTGCTGGGAAGGTTACAAATGGTGATCACATGAGCCCAGGATACTGCAGTCTGCAGACTGCCAAATGCCCAAATTCTGATCATTTGACTTATAAGTTTGAAACACGGCCGTCAGTCACTTTTTTCAATGTTGTTATACTTCTAATAGTCACTAAAATATGGTCCTAAGTCAAAGACTACCTGTATTTAGAAATTACACAACTCACAAAACACCTGGCTATCTACACTAATTAACAGTTAAAACTTAAATCAAATTCAACAAAGCTAAAAAAGCAATAATCATATAAGAAAAAAAAAATCCTATTTACCAAAACACCAAATGTTTTGGTGAACACCAAAGGACATGTGCAGGACATTTTACTGAACAGTGATGGCATCTGCTGTAAACAAATTTGGAAACTGAGTCATGGTTTTAAGCAAACCTTTGGGATAAATGAGATGCTTTGTAACATGAGCACGCTGCCCATTCTTGGCATAGTATTTTATTGTCTATATTTTTTTTATTTAAACCATTTATATGGTTGCCCAACTTGCAATAGCAATTTCAGGTATGCTAACAGAATTTAAAAACTATGGATACAAAATAAACAATATAAAAAACACATAATAGCAATCAAGGACAATATCGAACAATAGTAAGTTGACAGCTCCTGACAGGTATAACTAACTAGTTGTACAAACTTTTAAGGCTTTCTAAAAACCTAGGAGGCCTGTTGAAACTCAATACGGTGTTTGATTTAATAAGAAGGAATTAGGCTCCCTTTGGTTTTCTTCACCTTATTTCCAAGGTTGCTGTGCAATTTCTGTGTGTTGCCACTTCTGCTAAGTCAGAAATGGACATCTGGTGCTACACGCAGCTTCCACACTTCTTTCCAATAATGTTTGGAGCTCCTTTTGCATGGATTAACAATGCGTGTGGTTACTAAATATGCCCTTACGTTGCCTTTTTATCTACGGCAGCTAGGCTTTAAACGTTGTTCTCCTTTTCTTTATTGTCCTCTCCCTGCTTTAAATTTTTAGCACTTGAAACGGTGAAAAGGCTGCTGAGCAATATCTTCAGGTATTAGCTATCTGCTTTGGGACTTGTTCTGAGAAAGGAATCCCTCTTAACTCGACTTTAACTCTTCAGCTTTTCTAAAAGCTATAGTTGCCGTTGCAATATCTTACAGACTACAAGATTCTGAAATAAATTCTCAATGCCATTTTTTTAGAACACAGGCAGTTGAAGAAGCTCACCCTCTTTACAGTCCAAATACAATAAAGATTTGCTTTTTTTTCTGTGTGTATGAACAATAACGCAAATTGGGGATTAAAAGAAAAACAGTTTTGGAACTTTTATTGTGAAAGTGTGAGTTAAAACCCCAATCCCAACCCTGTTTGAAACAACAGATAAATACAGTAGATTTCACGAAGTTCTTCTCATTGTTCTCCTGATTCTTCATAATGCTATAGGATAATAACACAATAAAATAGATAAAAGAAATCCACATTTTGGAGGAAGGGAGTCGTTTGCATCTGTTTCCTTTGATTGATTAGCTCTACCGTGTGCTGCATATATGTTCCTGTGCTCCACAGTTTCCTTTTTTATCCTGGAAAATATATGATGTTTACCGATAGTCCTCGACTTATGACAATTTGCTTAATGACCATTTGAAGTTACAATGCTGAAAAAAGTGATTGTGATCAGCTCTTCCACTTTTGACTGTCGTAGTTTCCCCACAGTCACGTGATCAGAATTTTGGTGCTTGGCAACCAGCATGCATATACGACAATTGCAGCGTCCCGGGGTCACATGATTGACATTCGCCGCCTTCCTAGGTGGCTTCTAACAAGCAAAGTCAATGGGGGAAGCTGGATCCTCTTAACAACTGTATTATTCACTTAACGACTGTGGCAAAAAAGGGTCACTTAACAACCACATTAGTGATGGAATTTCAGTTTCAAATGTGATTTTAAGTTGATGACTACCTGTACAGCTATAAATAATGCACTATACAGACACAGAAATGAGTCAGGTATTTACCTACATTGTACTTAATTTCTAACTATTTATAACATTTATTTTTCCATCCTAGTTCAATGAAAAATATCAGACAATACAGTTCTTACACACCACCAACAGGTCTTTTCCTACATGAGTTTCACCCTATACCGGGGTGTCAAACACTGTTTAATTGAGTGCCACATCAGGGTTGTGTTTGACTTCAGAGGGCCAGGGGGAGTGGCCGTTGCCATGGTGGGCATGACACAGAACTCATGTCAGGGGTACCTGTGGTGGCCAGGTACTAAGGCAGGACTTCCGTGAGATCCTCCTTCATTCTCATTACAATCTTCCTTCCTTCCTTCCTTCCTTCCTTCCTTCCTTCCTTCCTTCCTTCCTTCCTTCCTTCCTTCCTTCCTTCCCTCCCTCCCTCCCTCCTTCCTCTCTCTCTTCATTCTCTTTTCCTCTTCCCCTCTTTCTTTATTTTTCCTTCCTTGTTCTCTTTCCATCTTCACTTCTTTTTCTTTGCCTTTCCTCTTTCCCTTTCTCCTTTCCTATCCCTTCTTGCATGCTCAAATACAAAAGGGGAAACATTTCTCCTTTTTTTGTTTTTTGTTTGTTTTGATAGCCCACTGCCAATGAACGTGGAACTCGGGTTTTCACTGGCAGAGGGTTGCAGGATGCTGTCATGGTCAAAAACGGGGTACCGGGCTCCGTTTTTGTTAGCAGAGGCACTGCGGGCCGCTTCTTTGCTGTTTCCAGACAGGCCCTACAGGCCAGATCTAATGAGTGTTTCCTTGAGTTTGACACCCCTGCCCTATATATTTAAATATAATTCAATAAAAATCATGATGTTAGTTAATAGTTAACTTTTTGTATTTGTAGTTGATAAAGTGCTTTACTTATTGTTTGTTGCTCATATTGTTGATGAAATGATTACTTGGCATCCCACCAGTTTCCTCAACAATTCCTATGACTATTAAGTCTGATTTTTTAAAAGTTTGCCACTGTTCTTTTTGTTAACATAACCAGAAAATCAAACTCAACACATAATTATGTGAATTATAATGTTTTTAATAATCATTGTCTCTTCTCCACAGGTCAACTTTGTAGTGTGCCAACTTTTTGCCTTGCTGGCTGCTCTGTGGTTTCGAACTTACCTTCATTCAAGCAAAACTAGTCCGTTCATAAGGCATGTTGTTGCCACACTATTGGGCCTTTATCTTGCACTTTTTTGTTTTGGATGGTAAGTAGCTCAATTTTTCATTTCAGTGCTTTTATTTCCTAGAGTTAATAGTAGAGTGCTGGATTTTATTCTAGAAACATCAGTTAGTGTATTCTCAAAAGAAAGGGATTGTGACAGGACCCATTTATTAAACTTGGATACAATGGGTGAAAATGGCTTTAGAATAATTCCCATGTCTCTGAAATTCTAATTTAATTCTAATTCTAATTTAATTCTCCTTTATCAACAAAGGAGCAGATCAGACAGTGTTTTATTTCTCTCTATTACTTAAAACTGAATTGGTACTTGGATTAATAAGACATTATCATAATATTTCCTTCCTAGGTATGCCTTACATTTTGTTATACAAAGTGGAATTTCATACTATATCATGATCATTATAGGAGTGGAAAATATGCACAAGTGAGTATTGAGCCATTCATATATCCTTAAGTGAAGTATAGAGGGTGATACAATTTGCAGGTGTGAATGGGACTTTAGGTGAAATGTTATAGATGTTATGAAGTAAACACGTCCCATCTTAGTGCATTCCATATCTTTAATATACATTGTCTTATGAGTATTTCAGAATCACTTTCAGTGCCCAGACTCACCCTCAAGTACCTTGTTTATCGCCCACCTTGTGTATCGCCCACCTTGTCCACTGTCTAAAGTGCCAGAAACTTATCACACCTACTGTTTGCAGACAGAAACCCTGGAGGGATGCTGTAATTCTTTGTCCTGAGTTGCTGACATGTTTTCATTGCTTCATCATCAGCTCTGACTCCCACATTCTTATTCCATCTAAGTACAAAAATCTGTGACAATTGAGATTGTAAAGAAATTTGAGTTTTCATTCATTAGTTTTAAAGAAAGAAAAAGGCACAGTATTTATATCCACGAATAAGCATAAATGGCATGATTTGATTTAAGTCTGGGAATCTTCTGGTTGTCTCTTCATTGCCAGTTGCATAATACATGCTGCATGTTGCTCCCTTGTCTTCTTAATTTGAATAACTATAATATGCATTATTGTGAGCAATGTATGTTTATTATGTGTCTGATAAAACACAAATCAAGGCAAATCACAACTGCATTTGTAAGCTTGAGTTCTCAAAAATATGAATCTTCTTGAGGTATAGATGTTAAACCGGATGGAGGTCTGTAGTTGTGCCATAGAATGTGCCACATTCAAACCTATGTGATACAGTTATCATAGTAAGTTGAAAAATATTGAACCTGGCCCATGTATACATTTTATTCCCATCTTGGCCTAAAAATGTGATATTTTTGTGAATTGTGTTAAAAATTAATTGTGCAAAACAGACTCACTTGGGAAGCCACTCCTTCATTGACTAGTGAAACTGTAAATAATGGTTTAAAAAATTAAAATTTTATGGGCTGTTAAAGGTCAGAAGAGTCTTCTCTAGATTTCTGCCTTTTTTTTGTTCTGGATACAATAAGACTTCACCTCCTGAAATTCCCCAGTTATTCTGGGCTGGTATTGAAAGAATGTTAATCCCAATATATTTGGAAAGCATCTGATGGGGAATTTGTGGCCTTTGGTAAAAGTACTGACAATATTCATGCATGTTCAGCCTTATTCTCAAATTATGAAGTTCAGCGCTCAGTGTTAGCATATAGAATTTATGTAGCAGAAAAAAATATAGTGATTTTTTTTGGGTGTATTCTTGTAATTATGGTAGTAGAAATACTGGTTATAATAACCTCAATTCATCTATATAATTAAGTACCAATTAAGCATAGTACAAAATCAACATTGTATTTAGCATCGTGTTTCTACATGAATTGGTATTGTAATATGTAGGTTTTTGCCTCCTGCAGTACTCTTGAATGTAAGCTATGTTGGTTCTGAAAAACTGTTATAAGCAATTTGGAGGCACATTTTCCTAAGGCACATTTTCCTGGCTAGGAAGGACTGTGCAGAATTGGTGTGCCAGTTGTGTCTTTTTCTAGACTCTTGAGGCTTGACTACTGCAATGCTCTTTATGGGGGGGCTGTCCCTGAAGACCATCTGGAAGCTTCAACTGGTCCAGAGTGTGACAGCATGAAAAAAATGGGCATGGCTTAGTGTGCCCATATAACACTGCACTGGTTACCAGTTTGCCTTTGGGTGTGATTCAAGGTGCTGGTTGTTACTTATAAAACCTTACATGGCCTAGGGCCTGGTTGCTTGAGCGACTACCTATCTCACATAGCATGTGAAATTGGCTAGACAGTTATTGGCTAGCATAACTGTCTAGCCAATTCAATCCTGTAGGGTTGGTGCTCTCTGGGCTTCTTTGATTAAACAGGGCTATTGGTCAGGGCCCCAGAAGCACCCCTTCTCTGTAGCATTACCTGTCCTTTGGAACAATGCTGCCTCTGGATGGCTCTCCCTCTGCTGTAGTTCAGAAGACCAGACAAGACCTGGATCTTCATCCATTCTTCGTTGGCAAGGGAGAGTCAGACCCCTCACTTCATTGCACTTGCTATCTTTTATTGATTTTATTCTAATTTCTTCATTTGATTGATGGGAACTGCTCAAAGTCTTTGAGAGTTAGGGATCATGAATAAAAAGTTTAATGCATTGTTATAGCTGCTGCTGTTATTGTTACATTTGGTTACAGAGTCAGCCAGATGTTTAATGTGGATTTGGCATTTTTTATCCACTTATTGAGGATCTGGGATGGCAGGTATTTGATAGTAGTAGAGGTATCTATTTTTGAAAAGTTGGTTACTATACAAAAACCTGCATAGAACAAAATAAGATCAAATTGGAAATATAATTTCAGTTCTGCTTTAAGACTGTTTCTGGACTTTGTGCTTGAGGTGGAAAAAAATGAAACTTTGAAATTTTGGGTTTTACTGATTAGATTGATTTGCCATGATAGAAATAGCTAGTTTATACTATTACGGAAAAGTAAAACGTTGAGGTTTGATGTTGCTTTATTCTACTGCAACAGAGGAGTCGGAAGTCAACTCTCTTTTCCTCTCTCTTCTTCACTTCTCTTTTCCGCTTCCCCTCCCCTCTTTGTCCTACTATTTGATTTTGTATTTTTGTATTTTTATTCTATTCTATAAACTAATAAAATGTTAAAATGAAAGGAAATATAATTTCAGGTTGTTTGTATAATTGTCTAGAGCAAATTATTCAACATTTCCTTGGGAGATGATTGCATTATTAAATATAACAAGCTTAGTAATTTATATTTTACCTTGTTCAAATATTATTTTCAGTTGAGCTGCCCTATCTATCTTGTTTCAGATTTCTTTTTTAAATAAATTGACAGTGCTGAAACAGGTTCTTAGCGTCTAAATTGAACCAATGTACTTTATGACCTTCAGCCAGCACCAGCATACAAGAAGAATAAATATAAACTTAAAACAATGGGAGATAGATACACTGAGTGTGTCAATACATGCTCTAGTTGGTGGGATGTGGGCCAGTGTTTTGGCTTGCAAGATGGTCTCCAGATTAGACATCCTAGCTTGCATGCATGTGAGCATGCTTGGGGTAACCTGGACTTTGGTTGTGTTAAAACTGACCATTGCTGTCTTAGCAGCAGAGTAATGCTCTGTATGATTTGGGTGTGGCTGAGGCTGATACACTAGATTCTACCTTCTATGCCTCACTAAAAAGTATTTCTGTATGTGAAAAACTAGAAAACCAGTCATGGTGAGTGGTGAAAATCAGTATCGGAAAATCTCTATGGTGATCACCAGATCCATAGAAAACTGAATTTTGGAATGGAGAGAGTAAATGATAAAAATGTGTATTCAGGTCTTGCATGAAAAATATTACAAGATAGATTATTCTCCCAACAGAAGAAAACTAGGCAAAGAAATAGGATGCAGAAGCCTTTTGGAAAACAATGAAAGGGTGTCATATTACAGAGTGACACAAAAGTGTAGTTACACAAATGGAAAATATGAAAATGTCCCATCTATTTTAAATACAGATGATGCCATGTGATTGACTGATAACCAAATGATTTACAGAAAACATTGGGTAGAAAGTGTAAGGCAATGAGATATGTGAATTTGAAAATTAAAAAACAAGAGTAAAAAGTGAGTGAATGACTAGAAAATATACATTATCTGCAAAAAGAAAAATAGATAAAATTTTATATGTTGTTATTGGAATATTTGGAGGGGCAATGGTTCAGTGGTTAAAGATGTTGAGCTTGTCAGCTGCAGAGCTGATAGCCTGGGTTCAAGATCAGAGTGACATGGGATGGGGTGACTGTTACTTGCCCCAGCTCCTGCCCACCTAACAATTTGAAAGCATGCAAATGCAAGTAGATTAATAGGTACCACTTTGGTGGGAGGGTAACAGCATTCCGTGCAGTTCAGCATATAGTCATGCTGCCCACATGACCGCAGAAATGTCTTTGGACAATGCTGGTTGCTAAGAACAGCACCAACCCCTAAATTCGGACATGACTTGACAGGGGAAACCTTTATCTTTAATGGAATGTTTACTAAAAACGGAGACTGGGTGAAGAAATAATAAGACATGCAACCACTGGCAGGAAGTAATGGGTATGTGGTCTGTGACTTTCGTTGATGATTAATTACATAAGGACAAACAAAAAAGTATGTTGGGAGTTTAATGAAGTTTTTGTAGTGAATGAAGAAGAGGGTGGTTCTGCAAAGAATAGGTATTGAATGAAAGAGTACTAAATAAGTGAGTGACTAGTATGAAAAAATTATTTGAGGTGGTTTGGTCATCTAGCATAAATAATTGAGGATAAAATTGCAAAATACATTGAAGAATGAATGGGTTGAGAGGAAGAAAAACACTAGAAAGTTTTGATTGGATCAGTTGATGAAACCTCAAAAAAAAAAAAAAAAGAGAGAGAGAAATGTTTAAAGAACAAAAGGCAGTGCATGAAGGCCTGTGCAAACATGCTGGAAGACAGTGTGATATGGAAGGCTAGACTGATAATGAGAGACTCTGTGTAGTAAGTGGTGTTGGTATAAATTAGAATTTCTTCCCTTCCCCTTCCTTTCTCAGACTTAAATTTCTTTGAGTTTTATTTATTTTTTGCTTCTGAAAGGGAATTACATGATTGGTATTTTTATTATACATACTGTATATGCAGATGAAAAATGTGAGAATTTCTTTGCATACTGATAAAAAGACGTGCAATTCTGAAACAAATATTCTCCCACCTTTACAATACAAAATGGACAAGAATTTTACATGCCTATGCATTTTCAAGTTAGTCATGACTCCTACCAACTGCCTGGATTAGTCTCTGCATTTTTCTTGGCAAGCTTTTCAGAAATTGCTTTTCATTCCCTTCTTGTTAGGACTTAGAGAGAGTGGCCCAAAGTCACCCAGATGGCTTTTTGTGCCTAAGGAGACTCACTAGAACTTGTAGCCTCAGTTTGTAGCCTGGTAACCACTGCACCAAACTGGCTCTGTATTAAATATTACCAATCAATAATTTGAAGACACTATTTCCAGCCCAGACTGATTGAAAATAGTGTGACTAATTCCAGTGAGACTTTATCTATAAGGGAGGCATAAGTGCTTCAAGTTCTTAGAGTGTGGCAGCCGATCCTCTTGCTGTGCTGTTGAGTGCTGAGCTGGTCTCTAATACCTTCTAATAATACAAGAATTGAGTGAACCTGTGCCAGAATTGGGTAAATGCTCGGATTAGCCATTTGACTCAAGCAATCAACCAGATGACTCAGCTGCCACTTATTGTTGTACTGTCTATCACAATTGTGACTTCAGTCTCTTCATTTCGTGTCTGATAAATACATCAGACGTCCAGAAAAAATCAAAGTATCATTCAAAAATACTGAATTATATGTATTCTTTAAAATTGTGAATTTTTTTTCCCCCAGATCATTCTTGGATGAGATTTATCCTTTGACTTTTGACAAAGCTTCCAAATGGCCATTCTAAATCTAGAAAATAATCCTGTTCTGGATAGTTATATCAATGTTTTACTTAAAGGTTCATCTGCCTTTGGTGACTCTGCCAGAATGACAATATCTACTGATGAAATTACACTTACAAAGTATGGACATTTATTGTTGATTTCCAATGTTTTTGCTTGGAATGGAGTGTAATGAACTGGCTTTATTTGACTAATTTAAAAAGAGAGTAGCTAATGAATTGTGAGATGAGTTGGTTTTAGAGGATATGCCAAACATTAAAAAATTAAGCCAGTACTTGACTGTAGATGGAAGACTAGAAGAATTTTATTTTTATTTATGAAATTTATCCAGTGCCTCAGATTTGATAACCTCTAGACAAAGTACACATCCAAATTATAATAAAACAGTAATACAATAAACTAAAGCAAAAATTAAAATTTAATTTATAAATTAAAACAGTTATAAAAACACTCTGACATACATGCCTTGAGTAATCAGTCCCAAAGCTGTGTTTTAAAGACCAGATCTTGATAGGTTTCTGCAAGACCATGGAGCTACCTTTGCCTCATGAGGTATGTTGTTCTAGCGGAGGAGAGCCTCCGTGGAGAATACCCACCATTGTCCTCCAGCTTTTGGGATTTTATACTAGCTGTATTTTTTGGGTAGTCCCAGGTGGAACTCCATAGAAAATAATTCACTGTAATCAATGTAAGAAGTGACAAAAGCACAAAACAAAGGATTGTCTTTAAGGAGGAATCTGTCCCAACGGATCCCCAGCTTTCAAGCATGCTCTCCCTGAAAAGTATAACCCCATCAAAAATCAATATTGATAATCCCTTGAAGACTTTTGAATCAGCAGTCTTTCCATCTTGCTTGAGATGAATCTGAATCTTTCTCCTCATTCAGACAGTCTCCAGGCATTGGGTTTTAACTGCCTTATATCCTATTTGGCCTAGGGTGATGTGCAATTGAATATCATTAGCATATCAAATGTATTTGACCTTGAACCAGTAAGGTCAAGGTCTAGCATATCCCTTCTAGCATATCCCTGGTCATGTTAAACAGAATTGGGAAGAAGAATGAGCCCTGCATTCCATACAATTCCCAGCCCTTGGTGGCATTCTAGAACATAATATGGTTGGCAAAAATGAAGGCTGTTGAGAGGTTCAGCAGCACCATAGTAGTGTGTTTCTGTCATCCAAACTTCTCCAACCATCAATCATGAATGTGATTGGTGCAGTTACTGTTTCATATACAGATCTGAATCCAGATTGCAAGTCCAGATAAACTTATAACCCTTTATTATCTCTTAAACTCTTTCTCAACAACCTTCCTCCAAAAAAAGGAGGCTTGAGATGAAAGAGTAGTTGTCTAGTACTGTTGGATCTGTACCTTTCTTCTTGAAGATTAGATGCTTCTTCAAAATGGTTGGAACATCTCCCTCTTTCAAAGTGGCATTGACTACCATCTGGAACCATCTCATCTCTTGTCTTGTGGAGCAAGTTCCATTATTATTTGAGGGAAATATTAGGATTCCGTTTTTTGTAAATGATTTAGTTTGACAAGTAAATAAGAACTCGAGAAATAATTTTTTGTGGCTTTCCCCCCTTACTGTTCAGTTTCTATAGTGGCTTTTATCACTTGTGCTGTGAAATGTTTTTGATTGCAAATGAAATCTAGGTTATATGTATGCTTTTTAAACAAGGTTCTGTGAGCTAAATCAGACTCTAAATAGACAGGATTAAGGTATTTAGGGAAAAAAGTGGAAACCTACATTTTTGTTCATACTAATCATGGCATACAAAGTTGTTTGTGAAATAATATTGAGAGTTATTTGTGAAAGTTGCTCTGTGTGTAATGAACAGACCTGACACTTCTTTGAAATATTGATTCCTTAACTGAGATAATCTTTGTTAAGAAGGCTTCATGTGTTTAGAGACACATGATACTTGCTGAGACAAAAGTTGTAAATAGTTCTTAAAATATTGCTTTGCGTGATACATTATGCTTGGGGCTAGCTTAACAAAATAAGTGTGAGTCATTCAGCTAATACAGTTCCTACAAATATGGTACTGGAATAGAATTGCTCTAGCATGAATCTTTAGAAGATCTCAGTTGGGGAAGAAAGGTAAAATGTGTGTAATATGACATAAAAACATGGCATTTAATAAATAGCACTAGCATTTAGATTTATATACCTCTTTACAGTGCTGTACAGTTCTCTCTAAGCAGTTTAAAAAGTCAGCATATTACCCCCAACAATTTGAGTCCTCATTTTACCAACCTCGGAAGGATAGAAGACTGAGTCAACCTTGAGCCTGGTGAGATTTAAATTGCTAAATTTGCAGTCAGCCAGCAGTCAGCAGAAGTAGCCTTCGGTACTGCACTCTAACCACTGTGCCACCGTGGCTCATAAATACAACTTCTAGAACACTTTCTAAAATTTGGTTTAGACATTATGCTAATTCCTGCCTTTTAAAATATTTTAGATTTGAATGCTGATATTTTATATGCATTTCTTGACTAATTGACTAAGATTTTAGTCAGCCCAAGACTAACTTAGCTTCCATAGTCAGGTGATCAAAATGCGGGTGCTTGGGAACCAGCATGCATTTAGGATGCTTGCAGCATCCCAGGATCATGTGATCATTTGTGATCTTCCCAGCTGACTCCCAACAAGCAAAATCAATAGAGGAAGTGGGATTTGCTTAATGACTGTGTGATATACTTAAGAACCATGGCAAAAAAGGCTGTAAAATTGGGTGCGACTCATTTAACAACTGCCCTGCTTAACCATGGAAATTTTGATCCACATTGTGGTCATAAGTTGAAGTCTACCTGTACTATACAGTTATTTATCACCTTTTCTAAAAATAACATAAAAAGTATCCTAAAAAGATAAAATATTTGATTTTACATATCACCACAGCAGCAAGAATTGCACTCGGTCAATCTTGAAAAATGGCTACTATACCAACAGATTGTTTAGTAATCCAATTTTTTTTGATTGTGCAGAAATGGACAAACTCTATAGAATTAAACAATAAGGAATATTCGGAATATTACTCAATTTGGGATAATAGGTATAAATGGATAGATAGGAGGAATATGAAATATATCGATTAGAATAAGATATATAAGATATATAAGATTTATAAGATATATATATATATATATATGTATATGTATATATGTTATATCTCACCTATATTCATAGATGAGAAGACAAGGTTTCAGAATTCAAAAAATTCAAGCAGAAACAAAACCGGATTCAAAAGGGTTAAATTAGCACAGTTTTCCAGTCCTTGGCAGACTTCCCGGAACCTGTCAGGCTAATCAGAATTATCCATAAATCACGAGGCCCCTCCAAATGTATTCTTTCGACTCATCAAACACTTTGCTTCCAAGCAA